TATCTTGGTTTAGAGTTTATCTCAGTTTTGGTTTACCTAACTGGCTATACTTCAGTTCTTGGATAAATCGGCGTTAGTGTACATAGCTTTTAGAAATGATTTGACCTAGATAGGAAACCAAAAATTGCGRATTGGATTTAGCACTTAGTATATTTTTTAACGTGGTTTAAACTTCTTATTCACTAAATTTTCGACAAAATCAATCGAGTAATTTTTGAGTATAAAATCTACAAACATACATTTGGTTTAAAAAATATAGTTTCTTTAACCAAAACCTAACGCGACRATTTGATGCATACTGATACTTGATTTACTCGAGTAACTTATGATAATCATTTACAAACAAAAACAAGTTCAATTTCCAGCGTATATCCTTGTTTGAGGACCTCTTTAAAATGTCGATTTTGAAAAATTCTTTCTTAGTGAGTTTCTACATTATAAAACGAAACTACTAACCAAATTTAATACCAATAGCTTCGGTGGTTCTGGCTAGGCGATAATGAATCACTTAGTTATTAATGGCAAGTTATTTTATGTTGTAATGCTGTATAATATTGTACCTACTAAAAAAATATTTTAGATTCAAAAGTAGAATATGGTGATTGACGATTGTAGGTATTGGTTACAATGATGAATAATGTGATTAAAACGATATAGGTATGTCTATTATCACGTATTAAAGTAGTAAAAATATWTCAAACGTAGGTAAGGAGATCGAGTAAACTTATGAGCATTTTTTTTTATTTTTTATTTTGAGGTAAAGGCTTCAACATCAAAAGGTTATTAGCCTAAAGTTATAACATTAGCGTACAAGATAATATAATATATACAGATATTTACAAATGAGCATTTTTGATTTACGCTAATACCTACGGTATATTATTAAACTTGAAAAGAATTGAACTATCGTAGAAAACCCACATACCTACAAACACAAATAAAGTTCTTACCATCAAGATTCATAATAGATCGATTCACTCTTATTCTTAGACTAACTATAGATATTGTTGATATTAAACGTGACCGATCTACTGAGCGTCTGAGCGTAAATTTGTTATGTTACGCACTTGTAAGACAAGGACAATAATATTAATGCTCATTGCTMACGTAGCATCAATTTAACTTGAGCAACAATATTTGGATACAACCAAATACCGATAGATGTCACTGATGGTTACATATTTTGTAAGTGTACTACATCTATCGCGGTTGAGAGTCGATCTGAGTTTTCATTTAATGTTAGTAGTAATATAAATAAATTATAAAATATCCTTAAAAATAGAGACTGACAGACCTCCAATTAGAATCGTTTTTCGTATGTTATCAGATTCATTAATTATTAAATTCAAATTTAAAAAATCAATACCTACTGAGGTCTACTCATGAAGTGGGAACATTCAAAATCTACTATTCTTTGAGTTGAGAGTTTCCATATTTATTTTTTTAATTTTTCAATCAAATTATGAAGTCATGTTAAATTTGAAAAATCAAAGTATACGAATAAGAAAKTCACACGGATAATTATTATTAAATGATTATAAGGATTTGTCAATAACTACTTCTATAATTTGTTATAAATAATAATTGATTACCTATTACTTATAAGTTTATAACTTATAACTGGTTATAAGTACTTATAGCTTTACCGTAAAGCCTTTACGTGTAGGTATTATACATACTTTATATAAGGAGTATCAGCGATCACATGATACTTAGAAGCTGGATCGAAATCATTTTCATCCCTTGCAATCGGTGGAATGATTCCTTGATACAATAATTTTAAATCCCACCATCGAGCATTTAAGTTGTGTACACCTTTGGAAAAAACACTCCATCGCCACTGTAATTATACGTTTATAGATATCTCAAAAATAGGCAAAGATAGGTAAGATATATAAAAATTGAGTAGGCATTAGATATTGAGATATTAGATAAGTACCTACTTGTATTTTAAGTACTTATTACAATTATAGATACCTATACTCGATACTAAAAATACATTAACTAAATAATAAATAATCGATGAATTAAAAGAATTAATGAAAAATGTCCATACTTATTATTTTTAAAATGTTTTTAATTAGAACTTATATAAAAATGTCTTTAAAGGCATTTTAATTAAATAGTCCAAATCACATTAAAAAAAAAATAATAATAATTATACAAACGATAGTTAGGAGTTTAAGTTGTAATCTATATTAATACAATTAATTATATTATAATCTTTATATTTTGAAAGTTAAATAGGTAATGCCATGAAAAAGTGAGTTACGAATGTTTGGACGGAAATATCAAAGAGAGCAATCTAATATATTAAGATTTTATTATTTAAGAACCTTTTATACTAAGTAATTACAACCAAATAAACAAAAATAAATATTGATAGTAGTGGTAAATTATTTGGTTTTTTTTCATATAATGCTCTAGTAATTTACCCGACGTTTAAATTATATAGGTATTATTCTCAGTSCCACGTTTTTATCACAGATTTTGCAGTTTTTAAGACAAAAAAAAATACGATTGTGTCATACCAGGGGTCCCCACTACGCGGCCCGCACTAAAATTAAATTGTACATCTAAAATCAAAAATCGGCCAAAGTTCAAGAAAACCATTTGAATTAATCTACAATACCCTTTTCTAAAAAAAATATCCTGTGTTCTCATTTTATTATTATTGTTATTTTTACTATTCTTCAATAAATTCAGTGAACAGTTGTACATTTTTATATTTTTAATTATGATCATTAAAAATATAAGCATGAAGTACTATTACTGAATAGTTTTTTTCAACCAAGCCTTCTTATGTATCCTTCCATCTATTGTGCTTATTATAAAAATATTTTATACAGATTGTAAAAATTAAAATAAATATGACAAAAAATAAGAAAGAAAAACGTAAGCGATCCGCAAGTGATTTTCAAAAATTATACTTGGACTTTTCTAAAATTTTAGTGAGGACCGCTTCGTTATACCATATGCTATACGTAATACGTACTCGTATATACCTATTATCAAAAATTKTACGTATTCTTGCTAGTACGTGAGTGCTCTGAGCAAAATAATTATATTATGCACTTTCACACACGAACGTAGGTAGTCAATTTATACTTATCAGTTTACCACACAAAGACCTGTGATGAATATGTGAGTTATCACGAAAACCAGTATAAAAATAAGTTATATAAATTTCCTAGAAAACTCTCTTTGCAAAATTACCAATATTGTAAAGCCACCCAGTTTAATCATTTTTTCATTTTGTTTYGATAAACATTTTTATYTTGTGGTTTATACCTACACTATTTTTTAGCATCATTATATTTTATTTAGCACTACTTACCAAATCAACTGAATAGGCAAAAGGTAGATAAGCAATTTTGTCTAAAGCCATTTCCATTAAGAAGTCTATTTGACTTTCTGTAAACAAATAAAATAAATTCAACTTGATTCATAAAATATTTCGTTTTTAAATTTTAAATAGCAATCGTACCATAATCGTCGGTTATGTTATTCAATAGTCCAATTCTATGTAAATGCCGTGGCGTGGAAATAGAAAGAATAACTGCATCACTTAAAGCTTCATGAAAACCTAAATACATTGATATGTATGAAGTCAATCTAATTTTAAATAAATGTAATAATACAATATTTAGTATAGGCACTAACCGGGATTCGCCCCTTCTTTAAACAGTAGTGGCTGATCTGTATAATGGAGATAATATTGAATATGAGCCATTTCATGGTGTGTTGAAAATAGATCATCCATTGAAACTTCAGTGCATTGTTTTATTCTAAAAAAAAAATAATTGATTCATTTATTTAATTAATAATTATACGTATATGGTACAATTTCTCTTATTCTTTATATTGTATTGATCCCTCTGCATAGAGTACCTACCGTTTGATGGACAAGAATGTCTAGGAGTTGTTATAAGTTTTAGACAATTGTAAATTTCAATGCGTTTATCATCAACAGTAAAATATTCAAGAAATTTAATTTAAACTATGAATCTATTCGAAGAACCAAAATATTTTACATAATATGTTTARAAAATATCTATACAATTTTAGTCGTTTTTTTCTAAGTGCAAAATAATGTTGATCGTAATTATTTTCAGTTCAAAATATTAATTCAAAAACTCGACTCATGCGAAGGTGCTCACTTGAATTTTGCTCTCTAAAGCCGCGTCCACACCTGAGTACGCATAGACCGAGCATGTGTGCTCACGCCGAGCCGACCGACTCGGCTCACGTTCGCTATGTGTCAAAATCATGTAAATTTGTAGAACGCACAACATGAGCACACATGCTTGGTCTGTGCGTGCTCAGGTGTGGACGCAGCTTAATATTACGTCTGAGTCAGACTTGGGTAAAGTACTTTTAAAAAAGTATTTGGAAAGAATACTCAAATACTTATGAAAAATAATATTTCGAAGATAATATCAAATACTTCATTAAAATACTTTAAAAGTTTCTAAATAGGTACGTTTAAAATACTTTTTAGTTTTTGTTTTAAATATTAGACTAACAATACGTCTTTTCTTCGAGAAAATTTATAATTAGCTCCAAAATATATGGTTTAGTAATTCTAAATATAATATAAATCAAGTTGTTCACACTTGATTTTAAATTTAAAAATGCGTATAGGTATACCTATATATTGTACGAAAATCTAGAAAAACGAGTAAACAATTATTATTGGAGATAAAAAGTTTTTTTTTTATAGAAATAAAATACTTTTATAACATATTCTAAATAATTATTCAGAATACTTTTAGGAAAAGTATTCGGAATACTAGGTACCTAGNTAAACAAACAAATATTTTTAAACAATAAATCCTTCATTTTATTATAAATTAAGTTAATACTTTAATAGATAAATTATATTATAGAAGCAAATTAAAACGTTTTAATGTGTTTTATATCAATATTTTACCAATGAGTTACAATAATATACAACATTAAATAATATGGAACAAATTGGGTTAAAACTACATTATAAAATCACAATTAAAAATTTGTAAAATATTATTAAACATGTCAAATTAATGGTACRAATTGTTTAATATGTTGAAAACMAMAAATGCAATTAAGTAGCTGTTGACTGAATAACAATTGTTAGCCTTTGATAAAGGCTCGAATAGTGCTGAAATCAATAAAACAAATATGATTAGTGTCTTATATCATTTTGGATTAGTTTTGTTTTACCTATGTCTTCATTTAATCTAGACCATCCTATTCGTTCTGCTTTATTTTCATTAATTAGCCAATGTGTGAGTGGTTTAAAATATTCAATCAAAGGTCGTGCATCTATTTCACTCGTTTTTCCTCCAGTAAGGATTTTAATAACTTGTGGCCATGGTTTTGAATAGCCCATTGACATTATTTCGCTAATAGAGACAAAACATAATAATATGTACTATGTAGATAAATAGTTGAGTTTTATTAGACATCATAATATGCATATTTTTATTTTAAATCAGTARTCRYATAGTTGATGAAAAATAGGTAAMTTAATTTTGATTTTACAGTATAAAAAATACAGTATATTATAYGTTTTTTAAACACAATACTRTATGTTAAATTKCATRGAACAAAAATTAATTTAAAGTAAACTGTTAGTTAACATTTTTGTACGTATCATCCAGAGTCGAACTTGCTGTACCGGCTATTCCCAATGATTGTTGAGGTCCCAATTTTGTTCCCTATCTAGGAATTGA